AACTGCAGGTCGTCGAGCCAGGAAGTGAACTGCACGGGACGGCCCTCAGCATCGAAGGAAAGAACGCGAATAGAGGCCATAGCTCAGGCGTGAGGGCACAGCAGAGCAGCGGCAGCAGCAGAGGGGACGCGCTAGAGCAGTCACAGCAGGAGCAAGCGGCGGTGCACAGGCAGGGAAGTGCGGCGGGCGGGCTGCGAAGCGGGCAGCGGGGCGGGCGGGCGACGCGGCGAGCGGGCAGCGCGGCGGGCGGCTGCGAAGCGGGCAGCGGGCGGGCGGGCGACGCTGCAAGCGGGCAGCGAGGCGGGAGGGCGACGCTGCGAGCGGGCAGCGGGCGGGCGGGCGACGCTGCGAGCGGGCAGCGAGCGAGCGGGCGACGCTGCGAAGCGGGCAGCGGGCGGGCGGGCGACGCTGCGAGCGGGCAGCAAGCGGGCGGGCGACGCTGCGAAGCGGGCAGCGGGCGGGCGGGCGACGCTGCGAGCGGGCAGCGAAGCGGGCGGGCCGCGAAGCGGGCAGCGAGCGGGCGGGCGGGCTGCGAAGCGGGCAGCGGGGCGAGCGGGCTGCGAAGCGGGCAGCGGGGCGAGCGGGCGACGCTGCGAGCAGGCAGCGCGGCGGGCGGGCGGCGAGCGGGCAGCGTGGCGGGCGGGCGACGCTGCGAGCAGGCGGCTCGGCGGGCGGGCGACGCTGCGAGGGGCGCGCGAGGGCGCTAACGAGGGGCGCTCGAGGGCGCTAGCGAGGGCGCGCGAGGGCGCTAACGAGGGGCGCGCGAGGGCGCTAACGAGGGCGCGCGAGGGCGCTAACGAGGGCGCGCGAGGGCGCTAACGAGGACGCACGAGGGCGCTACGAGGCTAGGGCACGGGGTAGCGTGGTAACCGCATGCGAGCGGTGGTGGGCCCTTAAAAGAAACGGTCGATAGGTCCTAGGGACCTCCTGCTCTGAATACCATGTCAACAGGACTAAGCAAGAATGTGTCATTGAATGGAAGAATTGGGTACAAGTAGCAAACCCTAGTTGGGGTTGTACCCCATACTGGCTACCCCACTACAGCCTACCAACATAACACAGTTTAACATGGAGGTGGTGGGGTCACGGCAGTGGGACCTCCTCGCGTCTCGCCCTGCTGCCTTTGACTTGGCGCTGCTGACAGCTGTGTGCGCCCCACCTTCCTCGCCTCCCTCTACACACGTCGTGTGCTCCCTCTAGCCACCCGCAAGGTCCGTGAGTTGTGAGGGTGGCAAGCTTCGTGTCACGCCACATCTCATCGCATCCCATCGCCATTGTATCGTACCTCCTTGCATCATCATTCGCTGAAAATGAGAGTGACGCAGTTATGCCCCAAGTTGCTCTTTGGTGCTGGGAACGTGTTTCCCCACTCATCGCACAGTAATTTCGAAGTCCGACTAAAAATGTCCCTTTGCAGACGTGGACATGTTACATATCACAGGGATCGTGCTTCTTGCTTTTCTGCCTCTGTACTGTAATCCCTCTGCTCCTCGCACATCCATTTATCAGAATAATGGCTGCTCATAACAAGTAAATATAATTGGAACAGCTCTAAGGCTGTTAGTAGATTCTGAGAGCTAAGTTTAGAGAGTCTAAAGTAGTAACGTAAAATTGGTAGCATAAACTCTGTAAATTTCAGAAAGCAAGAATGGCATACAATGGATGAACAACTACTCATATACACACTTCTATGACTATGGCGCCTTGAGAAACTCGTTCAGACCGCCATATCATCTATCTCTGCTGTCACCAGCTAGGAACACAATATGTACAAGCAATGATAACAACTCTATGCTGGATCCTAGCTGTTCATATAGAAATCTACTAACTACAATCATGAGATAGCTCTAGAATAGTACTTGCTGACTCAGTCTTCGTCTTCATGATGATTGCACCTGAATCTTGTGACGCTGGAACGTAGTTGCAGTTGCGTAGCGCGATTGGTGCCTTGCTGTCATGAAGATGCTCTCTTCTCTCTTCTCTGCTGCTTTGCTGGTTGGGAGTTCACGTGTGCTTTGAGAAATCCAGAAGCGCACATTTCAGGTTGAGATTTCCAACCTCGAATTTGATATTTCAGGTTGGGATTTTGGCGAAAGTTACAAGATTGTGCATGCTGCAGAGATTGTGTGCTGCATCATGCTCACGCCACTTAACTAGAAAGTATCTGCCACTAGGTGTTGTTTCATGAGCAAGAATCTTCTCAAGTTCGAACAAATCAGGGCTTGGAGTGAACATGGGAGGGCGAGATGGCTGAGAAGCAGGGAGGAAGCGAGCTGGAGGATCATGATATGGGCGTAGTAGCTGGACATGGAAGTCCGGATGGATGTTGATGTGAGGAGGAAGTTTCAGGCGGTATGTAAGTGGAGAGAGGACCTGTGTGATTGTAAAGGGACCAATGAAGCGAGGTGCAAGCTTGCGGGTGAGGCCTTGAGTGAGTAGGGGCAGATTTGTGGTTGAGAGAAGTACTCTATCTCCTACGTGAAAGCGGATGTCACGTCGGTGCTGATCTGCATAGTGAATCATGCGCTGCTGTGCCTTGGGACAGTGAGACACGTGCTGCTGTTATGGCTTTCTCTCTGTCCTTCAGAAATGCCGTTGCTGCAGTATCACGTTTGGAGCTGTGAACCAGTGAGGTAGGAGTACGAGGGTTTTGTCCAGTAGCTAGGTAGAACAGGGTTTGTCCAGTAGCAAGGTTAACCGTGCTGTTGTAGGAGAACTCAATTTCTGGCAGGTGGGTGTCCAATCGTTTTGGCGAGCGTTGAGGCATGCACGCAAACCATCTTCCAGCGTTCGATTCATTCTCTCGGTCTGCCCATCAGACTGAGGGTGGTAGGCAGTTGAGAGGCAAATCTTGGTACCCATCCTGTTGAAAAGGGCCTGCCAGAATCTGCCAACGAAACGGGAGTCACGGTCGGAGATAAGGACAGAGGGAATACCGTGAAGACGTACTATTTCTGTGAAGAAGCATTCACCAACGTCTTGGGCAGTGGCAGTGGTGGAAGTGGGAATGAAATGGGCCATTTTTTATGAGTTTGTCAACCACAGTGAGAATGGCGTTGTGATGGGCAGAAGTGAGAGGTAAATCAGTGATGAAATCAAGGGTGACATGGCTCTATGGTGTCTCTGGGATTTCCAAGGGATGTAGGAGGCCATAGGGAGGGGAATTGCGAGCTTTGTTGCACTGACACGTATGGCAGCTGCGCACGTAGGAGCGGGCATCACGGTAGATGTTAGGCCAGAAAAAGTTTGATGTAATTGCTGTTGGGTGCAAATGCACATTGCACGACATCCTGCCGTCTGTTTGTACGAGTATGCGTGTGCGAATGCATTTGCGTGTGAATGGTGTGTTCGTGTGTTTGTTTGCTTTCGCATTTTTCGCTTGATGCATTTGCAGGTACTCGCGCAATGTGCGCTTCGGCACAACATTGTACGCGCTATGAACAGTGCAAGCAGAAAGGACGAGCTCGCAAAGGAACCCAAGATGGAAGCTTTGCAGTTCGGTTGAGTTGATTGCGCAGATTCAGTTCTATCCAACTCGGAATTGTACTGTTTTGTTTGGTTAACTATAGTGTAGCAGGGAAGGCACTATAGGGGTACAATTTAGGTGAAGGTTGGATGTTGTTTGTCTGTATCTGCATGCTACAAGGCCAGGGGAAACCAGCGGAACCAGCATTTGGCTGGTTGGGCAAAGACAAAACAGGTTCTGTTTTTAGAACCTGAACCTGGTTGTTGTTTTCCCAAGTTGGAAAAACAGAACCAGAGGTTGTTTACCAACCTACCACCTGCTATTTTGTCCAGCCAGGTTGGTTCTGTTGCTTGGAATTATTTGGGATCATCCCTGGTTGTTCCCAGGTTGATTCCCAAGGTCCTTGCTAGCTAGAACTATTTAATCCTTCTCTGTTTGTACCTGAATATAGTCAATTGATTCAAGCGAATTCCTTCCTCGCTGGAATTTCGTTTCTGCGCTATTCGACGGCGGAATGCTACCCGAGTCAACGCTAGTATGCTAGCACTCCAACGCTAGGCAAACGCTGTCCGAGCCAGAACTTAGTAATGGCAGAACTTTTCGCGAGGCAACTTGGCTCATTTTAAAGCTCTTGGAGCGAGCTTCGATATAGCGAATTCTCAGCTTAATCCGATCGACGGTCTGCACGGCACGCTGCGCGACGTTCAAGGTACTCTTGCTGTTTTGACTAAGTCCTTCTTGATCCCTCTCTCTACAAACTCGGACCCGAGGATAGGGGCTGGTCTTGTACCAGGCACCCAGGGACCCTTGGAGGTGACCCCGAGGAGAGGTTTTAAGTTTGATTAAGTCCTAATAGCTTGAGTTTATTAGGCCCTTACACCAACAATTGCAGCCACAGTTTTGTCCACTCCGAAGTGTGTATTCTGGTCGTGATGCTCGCGTAGGAGAAGGAGACGGAGTTTACGGTCAGAAGGGACGCAGATAGCGTGAGAATCTGCTTTGTACCAGAATGGAGGGTCAAAATAGTAGGCTTTGTCGAAAGGGGCAGAACGGAGGTAAAAGTTATCATGATGGTATCCCTTGGTAAATTTTTTGGTGAAGTCTGGGTCCCATGTCACGCTGCCGATCACAGCAAGCTGAGAGGTTGGGAGACGAGAGAGTACATCGGCAGGGTTTGTACGACCAGCACGATACTCAATTTTCAGCTCAAGAACGTATTGTTCAAGAAATTCCATCCATCTTGCCTGCCGTGGTGTGAGATGAGGCTGCGTCTTCAAGTGCTGCAGAGTGCAATGGTCTGTCAAGACCGCTACCGGCTGCATATGAACGTCGCAGCGCCACTTCTTGATAGCAATGACGATGGCCAGCGCTTCTTGGTCATGCGTAGCGTAGTTGCACTCGGCTGGTTTCAGCTTCCGCGAGTCAAAAGCGATGGGCTGAAGGCCATGTCCTTGGTCTTGACACAAGATTGCACCTGTAGCAACTTGAGATGCATATGTCCAGATGATGTAGGGAAGGGAGAGGTTGGGTAGGACTAGGGTGGGAGAGGAGGTAAGAGCATGTTTGATGGTGGTGAAAGCTTCTTCCTGTCCGGGTCCCCAAGAAGGCTAGAGAGGGGTGAGGTGATGGCAGCAAAATGATTGATGAATTTGCAGTAGTAATTGGCAAGGCCAAGGAAGGCTTGAAGGTCCTTGATGCAGGTAGGCTGCTTCCAGTTCTCAACGACCTGAATCTTGGTGGGGTCCATAGCAAGCTGATTATGAGAGATGATATGAAACAGGAAAGGGATGGAGGAATTTGCGAACTCACACTTGCTCTCTTTTGCAAAAAGCCGATGTTCGCGAAGCTTCATGAGTACCTGGCGCAGGTGCTCAGAGTGTTGTCTCAATGACTTGCTGAAAATCAGAATGTTGTGCGTCAAGCATATGAAAGTGGCAGGGGCATTTGTGAGTCCAAAGGAAAGTACAAGGAATTCAAAATGCCCATAGCGGGTTCGGAATGCTGTTTTCTCGATGTCTTCCTCAGCAACGCGAACCTGATGGTAACCGCTTCGAAGATCAAGCTTGCTGAAAATTTTGGCCTCGCCGAGTTGCTCGAAGAGTTCTTCCACTTGTGGCAGCGGGTATCGGTTCTTGATGGTGAGTTTGTTGAGGGCGCGGTAGTCAATACACATGCGAAGGGATCCATCTTTCTTCTTTACGAAGAGGATAGGGGCTGCATAGGGGGAAGAACTGACACGAATGAAGCCTTTTTCAAGGAGTTCTTCCAGTTGAGCTTGGACTTCCTTCAGTTCAGCGGCGCTCATGCGGTAGGTGGCACGAACAGGCGGTTCAGATCCAGGTTGTAGCACGATCCGGTGATCCACTGAGCGCTTGGGAGGAAGTCCTGTTGGGAGGTCTGAAGGAAACACATCTTGAAAATCAGAGAGGACTTTTTGAATTTCTGCTGGAAGATTGGGATTAGGAGAAGAAGGGGCTGATGTGGTTTTTTAGGTTTGTTGCAGCAAGCAAACAAAGATTTGAGCCTGAGGATCTTTGGAAAGCTTCTTCAGCTGCTTCACAGAGATTACACTGCAGCTGGGTGAGGAAGAGGATGAGGGGATGGTAGGAAGCGTGATTTCAGCTCCACTGTGCATGATGGTTACTGTTCCAGCAGTCCAATCAATCCGTGGGTTCTTCGATGATAACCAGTCACGCCCGAGGATTACGTGATGCTCTCCCAAAGGTACTTGCTGGAACTGGAGCTTGTCTTTGTATGAGCCCATGGTGCAGCTGATTGGGAAAGGAGTTGGACCACAGGTGATAGAAGCTCCGTTCACCATCTGCACTGTTTGGGAATGGGAATCTTTTTTTATAGGAAGAGATAGTCCAGAGACAAGGTTCGATGAGATGAAGTTGGAAGAAGCTCCGCTATCAATCAGGGCCTTGAAGGTACGGTTTGGTATGCCTATGGAAAGGAGAAGGGGCTTGGATGGGAAGGTGTTTTCAAGAGAAATGATGGAAGGGCTCTGCAGGTTGCCAGAAAGTCGCCCCAAGCTTACTGGCGGTGACTGTTTTTTGGTGTTGGAAGCAACGGTGGTCGGCTGGAGCGTTCGCGGCAGAACCTCCTCACATGACCTTTCTTACCGCACTTGAAGCACACGACATCGTTCTTCACACGTTTCTTGCCCTTCTCCATCACATCCAGGTCCATATGAGCAGGTTCTTGCTGGTTGAATGTTGCTGATGATGATGGCTGATGGGAGGGAGCAAAAGGGAGAAACGGGCTGCGAGAAAATTGTGCCTTGTATGCGAAATCAACAGCGTCATACCGTTCAGCGACACGTATCATTTCCTCGAGCGTAGTGCAGTCCCTTAGCTCGACCTCCATGCGAACGTTGGATTTCAGGCCACGCTTGAAACGATTCATTTTTTCAGCAGTAGACAGGTCAGGTATCTCTTGAGCAACGTCACGGAAGCGCGCCGCGTACTCCTGGACAAAATAGCAGGTGGTAGGTTGGTAAACAACCTCTGGTTCTGTTTTTCCAACCTGGGAAAACAACAACCAGGTTCAGGTTCTAAAAACAGAACCTGTTTTGTCTTTGCCCAACCAGCCAAATGCTGGTTCCGCTGGTTTCCCCTGGCCTTGTAGCATGCAGATACAAACAAACAACATCCAACCTTCACCTAAATTGTACCCCTATAGTGCCTTCCCTGCTACACTATAGTTAACCAAACAAAACAGTACAATTTCGAGTTGGATAGAACTGAATCTGCGCAATCAACTCAACCGAACTGCAAAGCTTCCATCTTGGGTTCCTTTGCGAGCTCGTCCTTTCTGCTTGCACTGTTCATAGCGCGTACAATGTTGTGCCGAAGCGCACATTGCGCGAGTACCTGCAAATGCATCAAGCAAAAATTGCGAAAGCAAACAAACACACGAACATTCTATTCACACCCAAATGCATTCGCACACGCATACTCGTACAAACAGACAGCAGGATGTCGTGCAATGTGCATTTGCACCCAACACACTCCCCCTCAGCCTGCCGGCTGCATCCCCATCATTCCATGCTAGTTCATGCTCATTCCATTCATGCGCACACAACGCCAATGAGGCTCATCCGCAAGCCTCTTGGTGAGAAAGTCTGCTGGCTGCTGGTGAGTCTTGATGTAGATCGGATTCACCGTCCCCCTCTTCACCTCCTTACGCAGCCAGTGCCACTTGATACGCATGTGCTTGTTCAGCCCATGAAGCACAGCGTTTCTGGCCATCCCAAGAGCCCCCTTGCTATCACAAAACAGCGGTGTGGCAACCTTCTGCTCCTGGCCAATCTCCTCTAACAGCCTCCTCAGCCAAATCACCTCCTTCACCCCATGAAACATTGCCATGTACTCTGATTCCACGGAAGAGAGTGCCGTCTCCGTCTGCTTCTTGGACCTCCAACTAACAGGTCCTCCCCCAACTATGCAGATGTATCCTCCCACAGATGAGGAATCCTCCTTCTCAGAAGCCCACGTAGCATCGGTAAAGCAAGTTAGAAAGAGCTTGCCTTCTCCAAGCCTCTCCCCCTTCTCTTTCAGCACCTCCACCCCTTTCTGCTTCACCTGTGCAGATGCGGAGTATTGAACTCCAATGCTTGGGTGAGAGTTCAGGTACTTCACCATACGCTCAGCTGCATCCACCTGCTCCTCTGATGGATTCTGCACCACCCTAGCCAGCTGCCCAACCGAGAAAGAGATGTCGGGCCTCGTGTGAACTGCTGCGTACAAGAGGCTGCCCACCAAGGACTGAAATTGCTGCTGCTCCTCGGCTTCAACCCCTTCATCCTCTGCAGCCTTCACAAGCTTGAATTCTGCTGGCAGGGGAGTTGCAACCTTGCGCTCATTCTCAATCCCATATTTCTCCCCCAGCTCCTTGATGAATTTCTCCTGGTGCAGCTTCAACCACCTGTGATCAGGATCCCTCTCCACGTGCATCCCGAGGTAGTACTTTACCTCCCCAAGGTTCTTGCACTTGAAGTTTTCCATCAGTTGCTGCTGCACTTTCTGGATCTCCTTCATGCTGCTGCTGAAGAGAAGAATGTCGTCCACGTAGACCAGAAACAGCACCAGCTTCTCCCCCTCGCCCTTGAGAAAGAGGCTCTCATCACAGCTGCTGGTCCTGAATCCCATCTCCTCTAAAACAGCTGCCAACTTCTGGTACCAGCAGCGTGGCGCCTGCTTCAAGCCGTAGATGGACTTGTTGAGCTTGCACACCCTGCCCGTACCATCCTCATACCCAGGCGGCTGCGTCATGTACACATCCTCCTCTAAAATCCCATTCAGGAATGCCGTTGAAATATCCATCTGAATGATGAATTTCCCACTAACAGCTGCATCTGCCAACAAGACACGGAGGGTAGGGGGTTTGGCAGTGGGAGCAAAGATCTCGTTGAAGTCCTGCTTCTCCTTCTGCATAAACCCCTTCGCCACCAGCCTACTCTTGTAGATGGTGACCTGCCCCTTGTCATCAGTCTTGATCCTCAGCACCCACTTGCATTGTATCGCTTTCTTCCCATCAGGCAGCACCACCAGATCCCATGTCCCATTCTCTAGCAGGCTCTGGTACTCAGCATCCCTAGAAGCCAGCCACTTGTCCCTATCTGGTCCAGCTAATGCCTCCTCCATGCTAGCTGGTTCCTCTGGTGCAGGGGCAAGAAAACAGTACGCAGGCTCGTCCTCCTCATCTGGGTCATAGCCATGAGGTAGAATCAGCATTGCCTCCTCGGTCCCAAGCTGCTGCTCCGCTACACCTGATCCTGCAGTCAGCTTCTTAGTAGCCATACGGGTACGTCCTGGCCTGGAGACGGGTGTCTCCCATCCCCTCATAACGATACCCTTCGGCTTCTTAGTTTTCCCCTGCTGCTGCTCTCCTCCCTCGGATCCAGCAGCTCCATTAGTGCTGCCGCCAGTTTCCACACCATTTTCTCCACCAGCAGATGCCTCCTGTACCTTCTCTCCATCACCATTTCCCGCAGCTGCCTTCTCTCCCTCCTCCCACACACTAGGAGTCAGGTCCAGCTGCATGGTGATTTGCTCCATCTGCTGGGACACCCGGGCCTCCGGCTGTTTCTCCCAGCTCCCATACATCATGCCCTCAATGAATTTCACATCCCTGCTGTCAAACAACACACCCTTGGATGGTTCCCACAGCAGCCATCCCTTGCTCTCAGCAGCCAGCCCCAAATGCACACACCAGATTGCACTTGCCCCCAACTTACTGCGGTAGGTCTTGGGGACGTGGGCGACTGCCATGCAACCGAACACCCTCAGCATGTCCACCGGCGGCTTCCTCCCAAGCCACCTCTCCAACGGCACCCACGAGTCATCCCCAACCTTAGTGAGCACCCTGTTCCTAGCGACGGTGGCGTGCCGGACAGCATGGGGCCACATCGAGTTGCTCAGCCCAGATTCTATGAGCAGCGCCCTAGCTGTCTCCAGAATTGTCCGGTTCGCCCGTTCTGCTACGCCGTTCGACTGTGGGGTGTAAGCCGTGGTTAGCTCCCTCTGGATGCCCTGCTTCTTGAGCCAAGCCGTCATCTCAGCTCCAAGGAACTCACCACCCCGGTCTGTCCTAATCCGCTTCACCACACACTCCGCTTGCTTCTCCACGAATGGCAGCCAATCGTCCCGAATCGTGGAGGCGGCGTGATCTTTCTGTTTCAGCGGATACGCCCACATCAGCCTACTCCAGTCATCCACTATGGTTAGGAAATACCGCTCCCCCTTGTGCCCTTGCACCGGCAGCGGCCCCACCAAGTCCATGTGGACTAGCTCCAACGGCTTTTTGCTCCTGCCAGCCACACTATGGAAGGGGAAACGGGTAAACTTTGAGAGCAAACAGATTTCACAATTTTCATCAGGTGGCTGTCCATTCAGCTTCAGCCCCTTAACGGCTCCATCCTTCTCCAATTGTTTCAACAAGGGCATTGCTACATGCCCCAAGCGTCGGTGTGCTGTTGCCCAATCCGTCTCCCCAGATCTGGCCGACACTTTCACACCAACTCCTCCAACGGCGTTGCACTCCCCCTGGGATGCAGACCCCTCTCCAGCCTGCCTCCCGCCGTGCCACGCCAGCGCCGGCAGCTGCCACATAGATCTGTACACATCCTTGCTCTCGTGCAGATCCCAAAGCACCCGGTTTCCTAGCTGCCCCTTGTACGTGCGTGCCCCATCCGTACTAGTGCTCACCCCAGCCTTGGCAAGCTTACGGAGGGAGATGAGGTTGGCCTTGAGTTCAGGAACGAGAAGAACGTCGTGCAGCACCACCGGCTTGCCATCCGCTCCCTTGAACGCAGCTCGTCCCGCACCAGCCACCTTCAGCGCGTGTCCAGAGGCAGAGCACACCTCATTGATCGGTGCAGCGCGCACGTCGTCCAGCAGGTCCTTGCGCGGCATCATCGTCCAAGCAGCGCCCGTGTCCAACACCCAATAGTCCAGGGGGTGCAGCTCTGCTCCAACCTTGGCAGATGCGTCTCCTTGCTCCCCCTTGTCTCCCACATGGAAGAATTGGCCCGCGGTGCGCTCCTTCTTCTCCGCACCACCGTTGCCCTTCGGGTTGTTGTCGGACGAATCAGCGACCATGTTGGCGCCGTTTTTCTGGTTCCTCCGCGCGCCGCCATCCTGGTGACGATTCTGGGGGGTCCATCCATCGGGTTTCTTATAGCACAAAAACCAGGGGTGCCCTTCCTTCTCACAATACCAGCAACTCCCTTTCATTTTGCCACCAGCACCCGATTTGCCC